TGTACCCACGATAATATCATGAAAATAAAGGAAGCTGCAGGGGCTGAATGTTCAAAGTACACATAACAGCGAATAACCAAGACTGTTTACGCGTTGTCTCATTAAACGTAAGAGCGCTTAAGTAAAGAGTGCGTCATTTTGCGTTTGAAAAAAAAACGAAACAAAATTCCGTACTGAAATATAGTTTAATGTTTCATTAATTCAATAATCTGTTTTACTTTGCACACGAATTGCTTACCTGACATCGAGTGTCTTTGTTCAATACTTTTTAACAAACAACAATGCGCTTGTAATAATACGGAATTGCTCTCTTCCTATCGAAACCATAAAGAAATTAACAATAAAGGCGTTCCTATAGCCACGCCGTGGCATTGATCAGAAAAAATAGAAGTCAAGGTCAGAAACACAAACTTGAATGTCTACAATAAAGATAAGTAGGAAGTTCAATACTCCTACGTGGCGTATGAAAGGAGTTAAGGAATGAGTCCGCATCACAATTATGTACACGTCCACAATTTTTTCTTCATTCGACAGCAAATTGAGCAATTTTTTATGCTCACTATCAGGAATCTGTGGCTGCAAATAACCGTCATCAGAATGTCTTTGGGCGGTGCAAGTTTGGCTCCATAATATTAAGTGTAGAAAATAAAGACGTTGTGATCAGCATAATGCTAACGTACCAAACTTATTTATAAATTATTTTAGTAAATTAAGTTTTGATTTGATTAATATTAATGAAGTTGACTCGCAATTCAATTTTACTTACCATTGTTCTTTTATAAATTTGGTTTGATGTTCGCTTATTATCAAATAAGTTAAATATAGGGATTGAATTTTACCAATGGAGGTTCTGCTCGTGCGACATAAAGAAACCCTCTCGACGTACGCCTTCTTCATGCCAACATCAGGTCCCTTTAAACTAATTAAGGCGGCTTATAATTAAAATTATTCACAAAGTTTTTATTGTTTGTAGATTTTGGTGCGAGCTTCGTTGATAACACATGAGTGGCTACGGCAACGATTGCATGTTGCAAGTTTGTATTCTTATCTCGCAGTATCGGCGAGAAGCTGATAAGAAGTCTTGGAGGCTCGGCAGGAGGCCATGAGGACCTCACGCTGACGGAGGCGCTGCAGGAGGCCATGAGGACCTCACGCTGTCGGAGGCCTGGCAGGAGGCCATGAGGACCTCACGCTGACGGAGGCGCTGCAGGAGGCCATGAGGACCTCACGCTGACGGAGGCGCTGCAGGAGGCCATGAGGACCTCACGCTGACGGAGGCGCGGCAGGAGGCCATGAGGACCTCACGCTGACGGAGGCGCGGCAGGAGGCCATGAGGACCTCACGCTGACGGAGGCGCGGCAGGAGGCCATGAGGACCTCACGCTGACGGAGGCGCGGCAGGAGGCCATGAGGACCTCACGCTGACGGAGGCGCGGCAGGAGGCCATGAGGACCTCACGCTGACGGAGGCGCGGCAGGAGGCCATGAGGACCTCACGCTGACGGAGGCGCGGCAGGAGGCCATGAGGACCTCACGCTGACGGAGGCGCGGCAGGAGGCCATGAGGACCTCACGCTGACGGAGGCGCGGCAGGAGGCCATGAGGACCTCACGCTGACGGAGGCGCGGCAGGAGGCCATGAGGACCTCACGCTGACGGAGGCGCGGCAGGAGGCCATGAGGACCTCACGCTGACGGAGGCGCGGCAGGAGGCCATGAGGACCTCACGCTGACGGAGGCGCGGCAGGAGGCCATGAGGACCTCACGCTGACGGAGGCGCGGCAGGAGGCCATGAGGACCTCACGCTGACGGAGGCGCGGCAGGAGGCCATGAGGACCTCACGCTGACGGAGNAATTTAGGTTTTTAATTTTGTTCTGTGCTTTCAATGTATTAATTTGTGACTTCTGATTTGTGATTCTAGATTCTACGAACTGACGATAGAGCTGGTCTCCGAAACGTTTTCTATAAAGATATGAATTTTTGTGGACTTTTCTTTGTTTTTAAATTCTTAGTTAATTTGCAATTTAAGCAAACAAGTGATAGAAATTCATCTATCTATAACATGTACTGCGAGTTGTTGGATTCTATCGTAACTTTTATGTCCCTTGCCGTTTCCCTGCAAGAGGAAGCACACGCTCCTATCGCTCTCTAGCTTCTTGTCTTCGGCTTGAGCAGGTTCTAGCCACTCTTAGTTACGGTGTTAAAGTAAACCTTCAGCAGAAGACTCGGCTTCCATTCAATCCCACAACCGTGATACTATCATGCCATCGCACAGCGAAAGTCTAACAAGTTATGGGCCCAGCCCAACGAACTCGATATTCGATGGTAATGACGACAAGTAAGAGTCGCGGGGAAAATGCCCACCTACGCTAGCCCACCTTACGCTAAAAGGTTTGGATGAGGCGTGGGAACACGATGGAGATAGAGCAACACTACTGAGGCAGCCACGAGCTCAATAGCTAACCGTTGGGACAAAATCAACAGTAAAATCTTTGCAGAATTAACGCAGAGACTGGATGAGAAAAGCCCATCACTTATTTGCCGTGAAGCTAAGGATGATGGACAGAAAAGCCTTATAATTCTGAGAATGCATTATATGGGGAAAATATACCCTAGAATAATTGAGAACTACAAGCGACTGGTAACGCTGAAGAAAGATGAGAACGAGTCAGTGATTGACGACATCATCAAAGCCGAGAAAGCTGCTGCAGCACTCCAGAATGCCGGTGAGAGAGTCTCTGATGGCCACCTTGTTTCCCTGGCCCTTAGAGGATTACCGCCAGTTTATATATGAATGTCCATTGACGCCAAGCGCCCCTGCCCTGACACAAAACAGAAGGTCCCCACCTCTACTACCATCATACATGCATTCATATTTTGGCATCACTTTCATATGATACATTTTTACAGTGTTCTTTCCTTTCATTCATTGTCTCCACAACTTCAGCCCATAGTCATTCACTAGCTTATTTATTTCTCGGTTCCACTCATTTTCATTCCACTCTATCCCTGCCATACCCCGTACTGTCACCACCCATTCGCCCTTTGGCCCAGCGGGCCCTTGGCGCACCCATGCTTCAGGCATACCACACGTACGTACCAATGCATGACATCTACGTGCTCATTTGCTCACCTTTATGTTCCACATATACATCTTTCGTGCCTAATGTTCACCGTCCATTCGCTCCAGTCTCATTTTTTAACTCACAACTAATCTCATTCTGCTCTCCTTAAAGGAAGTCATCCATGCATGTACCCTCTCAGGGCCTCCCTTGTCCCCTCATATGATCTGGTGATCCGTGATGGCGGTTGGAGTTTCAGAATTTTCTGCTAACTCAAGACAAGTTTATTTGCCTGCAATAATAGAGGTACATGGGGTCATTCAATATCTAAAACAAGACAAGAAAACACTGGGCGACAATAGACACAAATACATTACCTATTACAACATTAGCACGACATACAACAAATAAACAAATAATAAACATGTTTGCAATGCATGAAAACAATAAATGTATGAAATAGATAAATAGGCAGTTGTAAGCTAAAAAACATGAGCTTGGTTTGCCCTAAGATTACACCCGGTAACATTGAAATGAACGAAGTCTACAAATTACAATTGTAAGGGTTTTAACTAGAGACATTTTATTTTTTGGAATTTTTGGTTTAGAGACAACCTTACTGTTCTCGTCTGCTCTCTCGAAGCGCTGCGTCAGTTGTTGTTTGGTGCAAAGTTGTAACTCCTAACGGAGGTACGTGGCTTTTGGGCAGTTACTAGTGAAGGGTTTTAAGTTCGAGTTGCGACTATTGTGTAAACTGTATATGTTGTTGAAAAGAGAATATAGAGTTAATTTGAATACTGTTTTACTTCTAAGAATTCGTTGTACGTATCGTATCATTGTTAGTTATCCGTCAATTCTTTTAGCATCTGATTGATTAGTTTCCATACTACCCATTTTTATTGCAGAAAGTTTAGAGCTCGAATTTGGAAAATTGAGGAATAGGCTACATCATATGATCATAGAGCGTATTTGTGTGCACAAAAATATTCTTGTCCCTGATCCTAATGAAGAGAGGAATCTGAAGATCAGAGCCTGTTGACTCCTGCCCAAAGAACTGCTGGCACTAAAACTATCACCAACCTTGACTCAGACTCTGAGGTACCTGAGGGTGAGAGCCTGCTGACTCCTGCTCAAAGAAATGATATCGTATCATTGTTAGTTATCCGTCAATTCTTTAAACATCTGATTGATTAGTTTCCGCACCTATTTTTATTGCAGAAAGTTTACAGCTCGAATTTGTAAAATTAAGGAATAAGCTACATCATACAGCGTATTTTTGCGCACATAAATATTCTTTTCTCTGATCCTAATGAGAATTATATACCTGAAAAGAAACAAAATTTAAAAATCATATAAATATACTGCTAAGTGGAATAGGGCAGGCTACCTAGAGCTAGAAATAAATGTGAAAAAGCTAATATGAATTTTTTCCGTTATCGTTTATGAAATTACGTCTCATCTGAGTCATCTCAATAACCATTATTAATGTAGGTACCAATTTTTGACAGTCTTTGGGAATGGGAAAACTATCATGTCTAGGTTTCCTATGAGCCAATTTCAAAGATTTTTGCACCATGAGAAAGCTTTTGTTGTAGGCTATCTATTCTAACTAAAATAAAACCTGTTGCCCGGCTGTTGGTATAGACTTGTGAGTCTGGTGTCTGGTGGTGGCTGGTGGGTGCTGGGAAATGTAGGTAGAATGAATGGTAGGCAAGTAATAGGAAAATAAAATGATAGGCAAGTGATAGTCAAATAATAGGCAAGTGAGAGGTAAGTGACTAAGTGATGGGAAAATGATAGGCAAATGATTAGTACTAATAAAGTAAAGGATATGGCATCACTGAACACCACTGCTCCTGATTTGGTGCTCTCATTCTATCCTAGGGCTACTGCTAGACTGCTAGTGCTAGGCTCAGTAGGCTGACTAGGCCTAGCACTTGATGAGTTTCACTAGTAAGTAGACCAGGTCCCAGGAGGTAGGTGCAACTCACCGTTGCAAGTAAAGAATTTCACATAACAATGTCTTTGTAATGGCAAAATTGTCCTGGCCAGTCAATTACCTATAGGTATGCAATAAATTTTAAAAATTTGAAATTTGAACCAAAGGGGAATTGGGGAAGCCAGAAGGCACTGTCAGTCTGTCACTGTGTCACGTGTCACATCACACTGCACACATGAAATGACTTAATGACATGATCACTGAAACACTAGGTACCAGCTAGCTGCTAGCCTACTGCAATGATTGAATGTAAACAACAGTATGGGAAATTGGGAATGGCCATTCATTGCAATCAGCATGTGCTATGGCCGCCTATGGGTGTTGGAACTTGGACTTATAAATTGTCTTTTTTGTGACTTCAAGAAATCACTGTTGACTAGTTGCATAGCTATAAAATTTAGTGAGCATGCTCTAAGAACTGTAATCTTGATATCATATTTCTTTCATCAGCAACACAAAATGGTATCAAGGTTAATTTTTAGCCCAAAGTGGTACCCTTAGCCGCTTAGCGAATCCCTGTCAAGCAAGTAGACAATTAAAATTTCATAAGAAAAACAAGATGGTGTCATCATAATTCAAGTTTTTTAGTTGATTTCCTAACACCCGCCAATCAAATTAAGCTACCAGTTGGGCCTTTCCCCATTTCAGTATCTTCTGATGATCTAATCCTTGTGTGGTTTTGTGCATACCTAAACAGTGGACTTTGAATTCTCTTGAAACACTCACAATTTCACAAACAAGGATTGAGTTTGAATTATGTCTACGATCATGAGCTGCATTGATTATGTTTATGCTTGGGCCTAGTTGGCTTTTAGAGTGAGCCCACACCCAACAGTACAATCATTCAAGAAGTCAATCTAAATATAAAGGAATGTGTCTTGAACAAAGCAAAACAACATACAAGGGACAGATCAATCACTTCCACACAGCAAGCAGAATGAAAGAAGTAAACTTACTGAAACTAATGTAACTGTAAGATGATACGATGAATCAACTTCATAACAATATCACTCAAGAGTTAAAAATAAAGTAAGAATGCAAAGTAACCATTAGAAAGAATTTACATAATTAGCCAGTTAACATCTTGAACAGAGATGAGAAATTACAGTAATGACAACAAATAATTATTTAATTTACCAATGATGTAGTAACTAACTATGCTCATTGCTCACTAATATTAGATCAACAGTCAATCCCACCACAGCCCACTCAGTGGATTGGAATTTTCCTGTAATCCTATTTGCTATTGAAGTCAGCCTAATTTTCTGCTAAAATCTGTCTTATTCAGATGGATCCAAAGTTTAAAAATGTCATTACATTCATTATCTTGCTGCCTAATTGTACACTACTATAATGAATAACACTGTTGACAATTAAGTAGAATTTAATTCATCTGGCAAGAATCTTGCAGTTTCCTACGGGGAGGATATATATTCAAAGCTCTATTTGCAGCTTGCAAGGTAGATTTATTCCATGCATGCCAGGCTGCCACTCAGAAACAAATAATTATTTAATTTACCAATGATGTAGTAACTAGCAAATGCTCATTGCTCACTAATATTAGATCAACAGTCAATCCCACCACAGCCCACTCAGTGGATTGGAATTTTCCTGTAATCCTATTTGCTTCTGAAGTCTGCCTAATTTTCTGCTAAAATCAGCCTTATTCAGAAAGATCCAAAGTGTAAAAATTTCACTACATTCATTATCTTGCGGGCTAATTGTACACTATTATAATAAAAAGCCCTATTGACAATTAGATAGAATGTAATTCATCTAACAAGAATTTTGCAGTTCCCAAAATGGCAGTAAAGCTCTATTTGCAGCTTGCAAGGTAGATTTATTACATGCATGCCAGGCTGCCACTCAGTGCTCTCGGATTCAGACAGACCGTGGCACAGTGAAGGTGAGACTGAATGAGGCAGTGCAACCTTAGCTGAAAAATTGGGCAGAAAACACCCATGAATATGACAAAAATTCCTGAGAATCTTGATGGTATAATATTAACATGTTAATTGATATTTTCAATATTAATATTTAAGTTATTAAGTTAAATAAATAAGTTAATATTTAATATTATTATTAATAATGAATAATTTTATTAATAGTAATATTAACATATTAAACCTTACAAACATATTCAGGAGAGACGAGCAGAGACCCAACCCCAGTCCTAGTCCAGTGAGTGGCAGCGGAGGGTGCAGCCTCTGACACAACTCAAGTCTCAACTACTTTAACTTTGTCTTGCTCTTCATTCAAGATTGCTGATATTGGAGTCAGGAGCATCCATGATCATGATGTCTCCATACATTTAAGTTGGCATTGTCACTCATTCAACCATAGTTAATGTTAGTGTTGAAGGTTTATTGTTGAGAATTTTTCTTATATTAGCCAATTTTGTTTTGTAATCTCTCCCCTCCCCCCAATTAATCTATCTCAAATGATTTCTCATAATGTATATGTAAATTGCACTTTTTTTAAGCTCATATATGGTGCCAAAACCATAAAACTGAAATTTGTTCTACTCATTTCTGCTTTCAGTGAATTTGTACTATTCATATTTAGCAGGTGCACCGGTTTCCCCCACCCATGTGCAGCTGCAGTCAAAGTCTCAACAAAATGTTTTGTTTTTATTAGAATAGATTGTCTAAAACAAGAGCTTTCTAATGGTGCTAAGATCTTTGAAATTGTTAATTAATATGAAACCTAGAAATGATAGTTTAAAAAAATTGCTCAATTTTTTGACATAATTGAATATAGGAAGAAATTCATTCCTCTTTCACTTTTATTTATACTCCTCTTCTATTTATATGGTATTTTTTAGATTTTTTTCTTTCCTGGTGTATAGTTTTCTGTGCAATCAAAGGAAAAAAATTGTTTGTGCACTTGCCTACAATCCTATGAATATCTTGGATCTCATCATCTTTAATTTTTTTGCAGATCCCTCATCTGCAAAACCTGCCTCAAAAATGAACAAACTTGATCATGTTAGTGGTAAAGAAGTGAAGTCTCCTGAGACAGAAATGAAAGTGAGTCCTGTTCCTACTAGTATCTTTTTAAAGAAGGGAGCCCGGCCTAAGATCTGCCTGCAGATTTATGGGAGAGACCTGGAGAATGCAAGGAAGTTGGCGTTTCATGGTCTGATATCAGGAACTTTGACACCAATTATTGCAAGAACATTCCTCTACTATTTCTTCCTAGAGAATAAATTTGTTCTCACAGAAGATTGGAAGCCTCATGGCATCAAAATTGGAGACCAGGGAGAATCCATCTCAATCTCAGAAATACTTGATATCTCAACAGAGATCACTGTGATGGATGGCCCAGAGTGCACCAGAACTGAAGAGGACGATTTTTGGATTGCAATAAGTTGTGCTGCTGTTTACCGGGTGGCTCACTCCAATGTTAACTAGAAGAAAAATTTTCACTGTTCCCGTTTCTAGTAGTCAGCCTTAGTCGAATATGTACGAAGTTAGCGTTCCATTAGCCAATAATTTGAATGTTCAAGCTACTACTCGCGTAACTATGGGACGCTTACTGCTATTGCGTCAGGATCATGTTTAATCTAACGTGGGGATCAGAGCCACGTCGCTCGTCGTGTTTTGTCTAACATACCCTCCTATGTCAACAGCTTCCTGGAATGCCACCAAATAAATCTCGCTGATAAGATGATTCGTGATCCCTAAGTAATATAATCATATTCATAATCAGAAAGTTTTGCGCAGTAAAGTATTATTAGGTAAATTATTTGAGAAATGAATTCCGATTTCGTTGCACGCATTGTATTTAACTCATTCCTTGGTGCTCGAGCTAAATGAATATGTAGAATATTCTTAGCGCAATGTACGATTTTTGTCATTCGGATCACAATAAATATATCAAATTAGTAAGATTATCCAGGAAGACCTATTACTACCCAGCCTGTTCTCAAACTGGCGACGCGCAACATCAGTCATCAGAACATCAAGTGCCGCATCGCTCAGATGTTTAATTTGTCAATATCAGAGTGTAAGCCAGATGAAGTAATAGATGTTCAAAACATTACTGGACGTATGCATTTTTAATCCTCCAAAAGCCTGCTAGACCTTTTTTATGGTTTATATATGGCCTCCGATTAGTATATTTGAATTCTTAAAATTAATTAATACATTAATTCTCAGTTTTTGATCAGACATTTTCTACCTACAAAACTGATTGACAATTTTTTTTACTCGTAATAAACGACCAAAATCTATGAAATTCAACGTTGTATTATAAAAAGCTCCTAGATTGATTTTAATAGGCTGGAAATTCGACTTCTTGCAAGGGACGTAAAGTTTTACGTAGAACTTTAATGCTAAGCCGGTGTTGAATAGGATCGATAACCGTCCCCGAGTTGCTTTCTATTGCATCAAAAATAATGTGAGACAAAACTTTAAAATTCAATACTTGCAAATTTGCCACCATTCGTGAGTTCGGATACTTTTTTTTTTCAGAGAACTTCATGTTCTGGTTCGGATACTTGAATGTTCTAAATTGTTCTCGAGTTATAAGTCATATGTACGCTGTCAATGATATCTTCTACATTTCCCTTTATCTTGAACATGTTGAGCGTCCTGTGTTTCTATATTCTTCAACACTTTAACATTATCCGAAGTACGCAGTACTCACGTTCCATGCCTTTAAGCGAAATCCTACATGTGAACACCGAATCCACACTTCTCCGAACTCGAGTGCGGACTCCTACGCAAAGCCATTCAATCGGTCCTTCAATACTGAACGTTTATGCTTGAATTATAGAATATAAGTATTTATTTACAATACGCTGCGATAGGAATTATTACATATTTTTACATTACTTCGTTTTCAATTAAAACGAAAAAACGCTATTTTTAAGCAACCTAGCCAGTCATAAGTCCTTCAATCCTGAACGGATTTGCTTGGTTGGATTGGAATTTTTACATTACTTAGTTTTTCAATTAAACCTGACAATGGCGTTTTTGCGTTTTAATTGAAAACGATGTAATGTAAAAATCTAATAACTCCTATCGCAGCGTATTGACAATATCTACTTATATTCCAAAATTTCATCAAATTAGTTTGTATTGAAGGACTTATGAGTGGTTAGGTTGCTGAAAAATTGCGTTTTTTCGTTTTCATTGAAAACGAAGTAATGTAAAAATCTAATAATTCTTATCGCAGCGTATTTGTAATAACTACCTATATTAAAAATTGAAGCAAATTCGTTTGGTATTGGAGGACTTATGACTGGTTAAGTTGGGATGCCTGTTCGAGACCACCACTGCCGTGCTTCGAATGGACTTTCATGATAACACTTCTTGACCGTAACATGATGAGCCGCAAGTCTCCAGACAGATCACATCCATTGAATTAAATCAATCAGCCCACAGGAAAGTAGCCTGACGTAGTATAGACCAGCATCGTCTGCCAATACGCGAAAAAATTCTACACCACCCGGACGGAGCGCGCCGGAGCCTTGCAGTGAATATGATGCCCGCCACCGTCCCTCCGTATCTGTCCAGTGTGTCGAATCAGCCTACAGTCGAAGGGCTACTTTTCGAAAAACGAATAATTCCAGAACAACTATGCTATCTGAAACCTAATCTCGGATGTTGTAAGGTAAAAGTGACCGTCTGGTGGTGAGCGGTAGGATGCATGCAGTTCCACTGGCGAGCTGGGCTGATTGATCGCAGGCCGTTGTCCGCTATTTACAGTTCGAGCTCAAGTCAGGGTATGAAGTGATGATTCGATGCAACGTTC